CCCTGCGGGCCCTAGGAGAGGGCAAGGACGTGGGGGCCAGTGGGAACCCACCTGGAGCCTGTAGTTCAGTTAATATTGTTGTACTCGGGTTAATGTCTTGGTTTTAATAGACACATCATGGCTACCTAAGCCGGTACTTGGGGGTCGTGGGGGAGACGGCTCTACAGGAAAACTCCGCAGTATTTTTCTAGCTCTTCTATACGTCTAAAATTTCACAATAACAAGATTTAAAAAGAAAAGGGAAAAAAAACCAGCATGACCTGGGACCCATCTCTCCTAGCACACCTAGTATTTCTGCTGTGTGAGCAACAGGAAGAATGTTCCTGTGACAGCCGGCAAAGTCATGGTCGGGGAGGAGAGATTCCCGGGAATTCCAGAGCGCCAGGGCTGGAGGAGGGCGGGGAGGTCCCCGGGAGTGGCGAGTGGCCTGCAGAGGTCCAGCGCGGGCGGCCTTGGGCGGCTGTGGCCTGGGGGCTGGGAGTAGCGAGGGCTCTCTGCCGTCCTGGTAAACATCAGCGTGTTAAGAAAGTTGGATTTCCTAGAGATTCGCTCTGACTGCGGCCGGGGGAACACGGCCGGGGAGGGCAGCAGCTTGCTCTGGGCGGGCAGGGCGGGAACGCGCGCTGCGGAGGGCGGCGGGGCTTCGCCGGCTGGACAGGAAAGGTTAGAGGACGGGGGGAGAGACCCCTGGCCAGCGGGAGTGCCTCTGTTTTGGGGGAGTCTCCCGGCCTCCGCTCTAGTTCTCGCGGCACCCGCACCGTGAGGCAGGAGACTGCAGCCGCCCAGGGCATCCCGACCTAGTAGCACCGCAGGGTTCTGCAGATTACCTGCCGCATGGAGAATACAAAGCCTCCGCGGGAGCCTTCTCCTCGTCCGAGGCCCCACGCAGGCCTGGCAAGGGCCACCTGCCCTGATCGCGGAGCTACACATCGGCCGCAGAATCTTTGATTGCCGGTTTCCAAGAAGCCGGGGTGGTCAGACAAAACCTTTTCTTTCTGGTAGCCTTAGCTGCAGAGGTGCCATCCTGTGGAGACCCCATCCCTAGAAACAGGGAACGGTTTTATTCTTCTTTGCGTGCTAGGCAAGGACTCTGCCACAGAGCCACACCCGCAGCCCTCACGACCTTGGTTTATTCACAAGTGTCAGCAAGGGCCCACGCTTTAATGGCTGAGATATTCAGGGCATGTGGTAGAAGCCAGCCCCACTCTAGAGGGAGTTCCCGCGCTCCATTCCTCTGCTGCAGGGCCCAGGTTAGCATTTGTCTATTGAATTTTTAGTTAACTATGGTTTTTATTGGAAGGTGTTGGGGGGGGGGTAACCCAGGTAACCTAAGGGCTTTACCACTGAACTACACCCTCAGCCATTATAAAGACTTCTAGTTATTTTTCAAATTCACCTATTTTTCCATTTTTTTTTCTTAGTTTCAAATTTTCATGTTCTTTTAAGATGTAATTTATTCCCTCCCCTTACCTCTTTGGACACACAGAGCAAATCATTGTTAAAAGTCTCTGTCAGGGCTGGGCGTGGCCCACACCTGTAACCCTAGCATGCTAGGCAAGGACTAGCGCTGATACTTTTTGGAACAGTGAGTTCAGCAAAGCGGTTCTGAAGTTCGAAGCAGCTTCCTTATCACCACCTTCTCCTGCCCCCCCCCTTCAGGCCACCGTGAACTTGCACCTGAGTGACAGATGGGGTCTGTCCCCAGCCCCAGCCAGTACGTTCCCCATCCCCCAACAGAGGACACAGAACCATCAAGCTGAGTGATGCGCAGGAGCATGGCTTTCATGAAGACTGGAAGAGGGCAGTCTCCTGACCTAGGAGGGAAGTAAGCTGCCTGCCGGCCTGGCACTGGAGAGGCTGAGGCAGGAGGATCGACGTGAATATAAGCTGAGGCTACATGGTGAGTTCGAGGACAGCTGGAACTACATCAAAGGACCCTGCCTCAAAAAAAAAAAGGTCTGTCAGACTGCTTCCCACATTGTATGTGAATTCAAGTTCTGATTATTGATGTTTATTTGAATCCCTTCTTAGTACTAGATTTTTTCAAGTGCTTTGGAATTATAGTTTAAGTTTTAAAGCTCGTGAGTTCTTTCTTCGTCACTCTTTGCCTAACTGCATCTCTGATTTCCATAACCCTAAAGGTTGCATAGTTGCCTCAATTTGCCCTCCGTCATCTCTGGTCCTCAGTCCAGAGCTAGAACTTAAAATAGTAGAGGTGCCGGGCCTGGTGGTGCACGCCTATAATCCCAGCACTCGGGAGGCTGAGGCAGGAGGATCATTGGGAGTTCGAGGCCAGCCTAGGCTACAGAAGTGAGTTCAAGGACAACCTGAACCTCCTAATGAGACTCTGCCTCAAAAAAAGCCAAATATATAGATATAGATATAGATATAAAATGGGGGAAGCCAGAAATTAGTCACCAGGCCTGCGGGCAGCTTGCTTCCCTCCTAGGTCAGGAGACTGCACTCTTCCAGTCTTCATTAAAAGCCATGCTCCTGCAGATCACTCAGCTCCATTCTTCTGTCTCCTCTGTTGGGGGATGGGGAGCGTACTGGCTGGGGCTGGGGACAGACCCCATCTGCCACTCAGGTCCAAGTTCATGGTGGCCTGAACTGGGGTGGTAGCAGGAGAAGGTGGTGATAAGAAAGCTGCTTCGAACTTCAGAACCGCTTTGCTGAACTCACTGTTCCAAAAAGTATCAGGGGTAGCAACTGTAACACATGGGCTCAAGGGACAGAGACCAGCAGAGACCAGGCCTGCATAAAGGCAACACGGCGCGGAATTCACCGCGTGTGGGTACAGGCAGGCAGAGGGTGCTGAGACCCTCTACCCTGAACAAACAAAAGTGGGCCCCTTTTATGGGGATGGAAAGAAGGCAGGGGACATTAGGCAGAAGATTTTAATAAACAGCCGTGGTCAAAATTTCTGGCTGTCTTTCACCTCAGTGGACAAAATCCTTGAAGCATCTGGTGGCAATTCTCGGGTGACTCCAGATGTCCTGGGACCTGCAAAATTCCTTGTGCGATCTTATCTCCCTTACAGTATCCGGTGCTTGCTGATGACAGCCGTGGTGCTGAGCTGAGTTCCCTGCTGAGAACAGTGTCTGTGCTATCAAGCACCCTGGGACCTGGGGGAGTCAGGCTGGACTGGAGCCTTACAGCAAATAAAAATGGAAAACCCAACAGACAAAGGAATTCAACACTCATCCCCCACCACTGTGCTCCCCACCCCCCAAAAAGGGAGCAGAAAAATGGGTGCCTCTAGATGTTCTTCTCTGTGATCCGTTCTTTCCACCATGGCCAGAATGTTATGGGCAGTCGGGGTTGCTACCACCGTCATAAGATACAATTCTGCTCACATCATGACCTCTAAGGAATTCCCTGTTATCACAATCATTCGCAGAGATCGAGGGAAACCACTGCCCCATTAGGGAGAAGGAAAGCAAAGAAGGGGTTAGGATACTGGGTCCTAGGCAAAAGAACTTTAACTCTCGTCTTAGAACTGCAGAAACGCTCCCCCAAGAATGAAATGTTACTGCCTCCCCCAAATGTGCTGTCTTAGTTTCTCGTTGCTGGGACAACATACCTGACACCCACGAGTTAAGGAAGGAGAGGGTTATTTGGCTCCCAGTTTGCACAGGTTTCCGTTCACGGTCAGCAAGGCAGAGGGGCACCGCAGAGGAGAAACACTCCACGGCAGGGCACACAGAAGGCAGCGTGCAGCAAGCAGCAAACGCCTTCTTTCTGCCCCTTTATAATCAGTCCATCCAGGCTATCTGCCCTTTGGGCAGCACGGTCCACACCCAGAGTGGGGCACCCTTAGTCCCAGGATCAAAGCCCTAATCTCAGCATCACACCCTAGCTCCAGCGAGCTCGGAAAATCCCCACCTATGAGTGCATGAGGCTTTAGGGGGACATCTAGACACAAGCCCTAACACGGGCTTCACAAGGATGTCTTTAGGTTTAGGCCAAGGAAAGAGATCAGAGACATTTTCTAGAAAGTCAACACATTATTTGAACATGTGGCAGTCACTTAGAAATCAAAAATGAATGTGAGCTGGTTGGTGACTAACAGGAAACAGCTGGGTGACGACAGGAACCTTCAAGTGTCCATTCAACAAGTACTCCGTAAACACTCTCTTCACCACACAGTGGGGGAAGCAGGATGTCTGAAATACTTTCTACCTTCAAGCCCCTTTCAAGGTGGTAGGCAAGGTGACCCACTCAAGTAGAATCAAAACTGTGTGTGTGCGTGGATGGTGTCCAGACAAAAGACACGCTATTGGAACCCAGCGATCTAGAATGCGGTCTTCTTCAGAAACAAGGTCATGATCAGTGTAACTCGTGAAGTTGAGGTCAGACCGCAGTAGGGCAGACACTTACCAACACAAGAAGATGACCCAGGGGACAGACAGAGGAGAGAAGAAGGCCAGCCCACAGTGGAAGCAGAGATTGCAGCGACAGAGCTGAAAGCCACAGGCTGATGGCCACCGAGGAAAGCTGGGAAGGAGCAAGGTCCAACTCTGCCCTCAGGTTTCAAAGGGAGCCTGGGCTTGCCAACACCCTGAGTTAGGACTTCTGGGTTCCAGAACCTCGAGACATTTCCGGTGTCTCAAGCCCAGTTCGTGGTACTCTGGTGTGGCAGCCCTAGGAAATTAATGTTCTAATTCACTTTAGAGCTAGCGCCAAAAACGAAACGGCGTGGCCAACAGAAAACACGTCCCGCTGACATAGCTTGTAGAGGATGTATTGGTATTCCCGCTGAGAATTAGGAGCACAGTTCTGATACACAGAGACGGCAAGAAGAAAAAGGGTTGAATGCTCTTCCACAACGATCCAGATTCCATCTTGAACCCAACCTTTCCAATCAGTCTCTCTGGAAAATAGGCTGAAATCTACCCACCCAAATGCCCAGAGCTTAAGGGTCAACTTTGCCACTAAAGATTTTTAAGGTGTAAAACCGAGGAGAACAGAATGTTTTACACAAGCTTTACTACTTCAAGAAGTAGCATCCATTGTCCAAGTAATTGTTACTCTTTACCTACCACTGTATTACAGCATAAAAAGGGGACTCTTGCTGGAGACCTCAGTGAGCGGTCACGAATTACAACCTTAGTTTAACCCTGCAGAAACTGTACTAAGAATACTGTCTGGCCTGGGCATCGCGGTGCACGCCCGTAATCCCAGCACTCTGGAAGGCTGAGGCAGGAGGACCATAAATTCGAGCTCAACCTGGGCAATTTAGCCAGACCCTGTCTCAAAAATCAAACAAACAAAAAGAAAGGGTTAGGGATACAGCGCGGTGTGAAGGAATTACTCCGTGTGGCATTATTTCTAATGGCTTTGACCTTGCATTATGATGTCTTCATAGTGATGCTTCTAGGTTCTGTGATTGCAGTTACTGCTTAGCAATCTCCGGCTGTAAATAAATTCTTAAAATTTCCGCTGCTGTGTGCGGGAGGGGCGCAGGCTCCCCTTCCCCACCACTCAACCTTAAAACCGGGCTCTAAAGCAAACACGAAAGCTACACGCCTTCCACCAAAATCACAGGCCCTCACCTGCTCATCTAACGTGACAGCGGCGGGGTGGAAACTCCGGGAACGCCCCAGGGACTCACAGCAGGACCGGGGTGCGGCGCGGCCCGGCCGCAGAGGGAAGGGCGCCCCGGTAGCGGGGTCCTCCAGGCCCGGGGTGCGCGTTCAGCCCCCTGAGCCGGCAGGGCTGACTTCCCATCTCCCCGGGCGTCAGCCCACCATCCTCCCCCGACCGTTCATCAGCGGGGCTTTTCGTCCAGCGGTGGCTCCGAACCGA